GCTTTGAATCAATGATCTCAATCTTTTGATTCGAAACGTTGATATAAAAAGGCATTCAAATCATTCGTTGAAGTCACTTGATTCGAATCACCTTACGCAAATAGTGATCAAATCATTTAACTCAAATCCTCGATCCAAAACACTTGATTCGAAGAGAATTGAATCACTGATTTGAATCGATTCAATTCACTTTTTGAATCAATTTATTCGGATTAGTGATTTAGATCGATGTTTCGAATCAAGTAATTCGGATGAGTGATTAGATTCAAGTAGTTCAAATGAGTGATTTGAATCAAATGATTCAAGTCAGCATTCACCTCATTGATTCATATCAGCGATTCAGATCAGTGGTTCACTGTGATTCAGATCACTGATTCGATATAAGTGATTCGGTCATGCAATTTAAATCTTGTTTCAGATCCGTGATTTGGATGATTGAGGTACGGATCAGTATAAATTATTGAAACTTTTGATCAAATGTAAATCAAATTTTTTGTTTTGAAGTTTTTTTTTTTATACTCTGCACCTTTTTTTTATTAATACATTTTAAAAATTTTTTATCTGCATCAATGAGCTATAATTAAACATCGTTAAAATCTCTCTCTCTCTCTCTCTATATATATATATATAATTATATATATATATATATATATAACCGCCACTGAAACAGCTGACCCATACTTGGGTCGTCGGTTGTTCAACGAGTATGAATATTTAAATCTGAAATTTTGAGCCAAACTCAAAAGACAAGGGAACTAGTATATCAAGCACTAAAACAAACAGTCTACGTGGAGTAGTTTCTAATGAAAACAAGCAACATTCGCGTGTTACATGGAGAGAGAAACCACGAAAACTACCGATAACAATGGAATTCTCAATAATGGAGCGTCTATCATTGATAATATTTTACGCCAGTTCTGTTGTCGGTGCGAGCCGGGAGTTGAATTAGTATCGCCGGGATTTCAATTTGGGTCCCTTCATTGGGGAGATAGCATTCTGATCCTTGAGCCAACGTAGCTCTCTTAACTACTGCCCTCTAACGCAAAATAGTACTGAAATATATGTTTGTCAAAGGTTTCACCGGATTTCATAATTTCGGAAATTTATTTTATAAAAATGTATAACCATTCAAGCTAAGTTAGACTGTATTTTGTTAGCATTAAATAAGAAAACTTGGATTGCGAAGCTATTGAAAGGAACTGCGAAGGCAGTTCCGGAGGTCGGGGAGTGCAGCGAGTATAATTTAATCTATGCTTATAAATATATATGTGTCGTATATATTAAAATCCTAAAAATATATCATTTTGCTCTAGGGTTCCGTGGAGTATCTTTGGCTAAACGAATTTTATAACTGTGGACAAAAATTTTCCAATTCGCTTAAAAGGTTCTCGAAATATGGTAAAATACGCAACTGATTTTAAGACCGCTCTCCTGACGAAACTATAAGGAACACATTTCCCACACTGCGGGTACTCCTATATTTTGGGGGTGTCAGAAATCCGAATCCGTTGAAAAAAAAGGCATGTTATTCCGAGAAAGTACCTATTTGTGTCTGATTTCGTAACTAAAAATATCGTCTGCACTAACTCATTAGCCTGTTTAAAATCACCTTCTTAAAACATTAAAATTGAGTCTTAAAACGTGAGGATCCGATTATTAGACCAAAAGTTATTCAGGGTGATCCGTTTTTTTTTTTTTTTTTTTTTTTTTTTTTTTTTTTTTTTTTTTTTTTTTTTTTTTTTTNTTTTTTTTTTTTCGCATTGCTAGCACTCTTTTACTAATAGGAACCTTTTGCTTTATAAAAAAATTCGGATAATAATGAGTTCACAATTAGCATTGTATTTCATTTAAAAATCACACACAACCAGGAAAGAAAATCGTATTCACAAACTAACTTTATTAGAGTTTTTTGTTAAAAAATAATTATACAAAATATGTATAGTTTTAAATGCATATTCATGGAGGATGAAAGGATATGTTTTAATCCTCACAAAGTATAGTAAATTAAAATTTGTAAATGACACCAACGTTTCAAAAACATTATACATAAAAAAAAAGAAAACATTAAAAAAAAAACATTTAACTTTGTCATCTCTAATTTCTTTAGATATTCGTTTACAGCTAACAGATATATAAATTAAAGTTTTTACAAAAATACAATAGTTATTCACAAAACATTTTGTTCAAACTATGAAATATAAGCGAAAAAACATTATCTAATGAATTTAATTTATTCATAAAGTAAACATACCCAAATTAAACAAATTTAAATGATTTAAAAAAAAAAACAGAAAATGTAAAATAAAATCATATGTACACAAGAAATAGCTATTTACAATTCTAAATAATATTTATAATTTTTTAATCCTTAATTAATTTTGATTTGAAATTCTTTACAATAATGAAAAATAATAGTAAAAATATTTACATTTTATTATTTTTTGAATCCTTACATTAAAATTTCAAAAATTAAAGAATTCAAGAAAGCAGAACTCTTCACAATAAACTTTTTTTTCGAAATAATGTTCTACAAGTGATGCTACATATAAGTTATTATCAGTGGCCTAGTCATGATACAAAACATCTCAGGGGCAGTACAAATATTACGCAAGCACCTGTTGGTGATTTGTTTATTTTGCTGAAAAAGTTCGAGGTGCGCGGGCAACAATTACGTAAGACATTAAAATCTCCTTATTTTCAAAATGCAAAAAATTGAACAAAAAATTACGCTTGGAAAAATTAAAATATGGAATTAAATTTGTAGAGAGAAAAAGATGGAAAAAAAAACTCTTCAAAGCGTTAAAATATGGAATTAAATTTGAGGAAAGAAAGAATTGTAAAAAAACTTCTTTGGAGAGTTAAAATATGGAATTAAATTTGTGGAAAGAAAGAGTTGTAAAAAAACTTCTTTGAAGAGTTCAAATATGGAATTAAATTTGTAAAAATAAGGAGTTGTAAAAAAACTTCCTTGAAGAGTTCAAATATGGAATTAAATTTGTGGAAAGAATGAGTTGTAAAAAAACTTCTTCGAAAAGTTAAAATAGGGAATTAAATTTGTGGAAAGAAAGAGTTGTAAAAAAAACTTCTTTGAAGAGTTCAAATATGGAATTAAATTTGTGGAAAGAAAGAGTTGGGAAAAAACTTCTTTAAAGAGATTCAAGGGTCAAAAATTTTGATGACAGAGGGAAAACACAGATTCCTAAAGAATATTCTACCTCAAATTTTGTAAAGTAAATGAAAACACAAATTTTTTGCTGAGCAAAATTACATCTTTCATTAGCAACAGCAATAAAATTGGATTACTAGAATAAAGTTTCAAGTTAAAGAAGAAAAAAAACAAGGGGAGAGTATTTAGACTTTCTTACATGTTCACGTTATATTTAAAGGACCCCTAATTAAACTTTATAAAAATTTATGTAAATAAGAAAAATTGCGCATGGTTTCAATGAGTCTTAGAAAAGCTTAATAGTGATAGTAAATTCGAGTAGAAATTTCTTTTTAGATGTAACTTTTTATGATTAGATGTCCGATTGGCATTAGCGTTGTTAGAGGGGAGGGGCCATGGGTGTACGTTCCACTCAATAAATAGAAATCTCTAAAAGTTCCCTGCCATATGTTAAAGAAAGAAAAATTTCAAGCATCTTCATCGATTTAAATTTAGCTAAAAGATAAGAAAGATAGATTAAAATAATTTATCTTTTTGCAGATATAAGATTTTTTTTCTTCTTATGAGTGAAATTTAGAGAACTATTATGACTGTGAAAGTTAAAAGCAAGAAAAAGGTAAAAGAAATAATTATTATTTTTGTTGGTATAAGAATTTTTTTCTTAGGTGTGATGTTTAATATTATTACATATATAATGACTGCAATTGTTAAAAACAAGACAGAGATAAAAAATAATTTAATAATCTTTTGCAGACATAAGAAATGTTTTTTTTTTTTTTTTTTTTTTTTTTTTTTTTTTTTTTTTTTTTTTTACTTCAGATTTATAGAGCTATTATGACTGCGAAAGTTAAAAACAAGAAAAAGATAAAAAAATAATTAATCTTTTTGAAGAGAAAAGAAATTGTTTATCCTACGTATGATATTTAGAGAATTATTATGACTGCATATTTCAATTTCGTCCCCCCTAAAAAATTTTACCCATGTACTATTGTACTATAAAAACTCTTCTAAAACTCTAGGAAACTTTACATAGTAGAAAATTTTTTTTTTAAAAAGAATTATCCTCCTAAAACTTTGATGTTTACAATGCAATTATAGCCATGAAGGTTCGACACAACAACCACCTTCAATTTTTTTTTCTTAATCAATAGAATAAGAAGTATGATCAATATTATTGAACTTACACCATTTTCAAAATATTTTTGAAAAACATATTATGCATATCTCAAAAAATCAAAACTTTAAACAAACTATACAAACAAATATAAACTTCTCTTTTCCATTACAAACAATATATTAATACAAAAAAAATTAAAATTTAACGATCACAGACACAGTTAAATAAAGACAATAAAAGCAAATTTAAATATTTGCACTTGAAGAATATATAATGAAAATAAATTATGATTCAAGAAATTAAAATAACAAGACAGGTGTAATTGAGATCATAAATTTAAATGAAGAATAAATGCACTTCAAAATATATGCTTAATGAATATGTATTTTGTACTCTAAAGCAATATGCTCTATGAAATGATTTGACTTCATGCATAAATTAGTAATGTAGTGAAACAGCGAATAAAACCCAATATTGTAATATAAAATATTTTAAATTCGAAAAATATAACCAGTACACATAAATAAAGCCAATATTTTTATTTTGGAAAAATATTTCTCGCAGTAATATTAAATAAAATTCTGTTCATTTAAATTTACATAAACCTCACTCAAAAATTCTAAATACTCTACAGTCCAGAAGATGGCGCCATCAAATTATTTATTCTATTTTGATAAGGTTCAAAAGTTAAATTTTCAATTAAACTGACTTTCTGAAATCGCTGAAAGTGAAGCTTTATTAAGTAAAAAATTACTTATAAATATCGATATAATATATTTTACTCACACTTACATAGATCCTTTAAACATTTCGATTACAGAAATTACTATTCCTTGCAATAAACTCAGGGAAATAAAATATCATTGAATTACAGCTCTTTCTCTGTTTTACAATAACATTTAAACAAAGTTTCAATAAAAAATCAATTTTTAAAAAAATTATATCTATATATAAAAAAAAAAAAATTAACAAACATTTTTGACCAAAAATGTGCGTGCTCCTCTAATGATGTTAAAAAACAATGGTATTGCAGATGCTGCCATCTATTGGCAAAATGAATAGGACTTCTTTAAATTATGATCTGTAAAGAAGAAAGAGAAAAATAATTTAATATAAAATTTATAAATATAAAAATTAAAAAAATGCATAGTAACATTTAACAATTTTTTTCAAGGGCTACTTGAGAACAAAATACATAGATATTTTTACATAGATTCTAGATGGAAAAGAAAATTCTATGGAATCACCCTGAAAGATTATAAATTTCTAGATTTTGGTAAAATATTTCACAAAATAAGGATGAGTTATTACAAACTAAATAAATTTAAAACTCTGTTGGAATAAGTGATAAATATTTTGCTATTCATGATAAATATTTTGGTACATAAATATTAGCAAATAATTAAGTAGATATTACTGGACAAATAAATGGCATAATTACATCAAAATTCACTGTAATAAGAGCAATTTCATAACTCCGTTCACTTAATTTTTTATCGACTTATTTATTTCTTCTATTTTTATTAAAACAAAGAATTTTGAAAGAATAACAATAAAAATGAGACCTCATTGGAAATCACCTTTTCACAAACTAGGCGTCACAAAAAAAAAAGACAGACATAATTTAAATTAATTATTTAAAAATAATATAAATAAATTATTTTACAAATAGATGTCAAAACTGATATATGTTTTTTGAAAAAAATCCAAAACTTTACAGATAAGCATGTGCTTTCCACCATTAACGGATTTTGATTAATGGATGAAATTTTAAAAAAATTCCCCCTCTCCATCTTTCTCTTTTTTTTTTTTTTTTTCCCCTTCTGAGATAGAATGCTTTCAAATCGATTTATCTTATTACCTTGTTGCTATTAGATGTTTCAAAACATTTATAAGGGAATGGGGAATTATCGAATAGAAAAATATATTTCTTAAATTACATCAGGTATGTACGAATTTAACAAATTTGAAAAAAAATCATACAATGCGCATTTAGCTATAAAAACAAATTTAATGCAATAATAATAATTTAAACAGGTTTTTTTAAAACGTGAAAAAGAAACATAAAACATCTTTTTAAAAGTATGCTTAAAAACACATGAAAATATCATTAGATGTTCACTAAATAAAAAAATTTTTTAAAAAAACTAATTTTATAAATTTAGAAAAGTCACATAATATAACAAACGAACAATTTGAATGCAATAATAAATAAATTGACTTAAAAAATATGGAATCTAAAAAAATATTTTTAACTTCTTTCAGAAATAGCTTTTAAATTTTGTAAAATCAGAGAAAGAAATAAAGGGATAAACTAAACTAAAAAAACATTTAATATTTTGCCCTACTTTCCCTAAAAAAAATCAAATACTAATTTCACGATTTGATAAATCTTATATTAGACATTTAAATATTACACACGAAACAATTAAAAATAATTAAACTAATTTAAGAACGTGGAATTTAAAAAGCAACATTAATTTAAATCCCGTTGTTTGTGAAGAGTTTAAGATCAGTTAATGTAGTCTCAACTACTTATTACAACTACTCAATGTAGTCTCAACGGCCTTATTGGTAGAAAATTTTAAAAAATATATATATAAATATATAAATAAAACTCAAAATAAAATATTTTGCCATTATTTCTCAACTTGAAAAAAAATAATTACGTAACAAATTTGAAAAAATTAATGTAGCTAATTTAAGAAGCGTGGAATATGAAAAAAAAATAATTATTAATTCTGTTTATTAATTATTTATAATTTGTTTATTAATTAAAACCGTTAATAGAGAAAAATATTTTTTTAGCCACTATGTTTAAAATTTTGAATAATAGTAACGTCAAAAATTATACTACAAAGATATAAATAAAAAAAAGAACATAAAACAAATTGAAATCAGGCCGTTGTTCAAGTAAAAGGCGTGACAAGTTGACCTTGATTTTATGTTTTTCAGCGAATAAGAATACACCAAGCTAATAGCACATTTTGTTGAGGCCTGAGGCAATCACTTTCTCTTGCAGCTAGAACTTATTTTTTTTTCTTCACTTAGCATTTTTTTTTCCTCGTCTTATTAATTTTATCAACTTGATCAAATCAAACGATGAAGTTCGTCGATCGCTAAGATAACGTAGAACAATAAATAGTTCCAACAACCTCAACGGTATTAATATATTTTATAACAATACGATTATAAATTTGGTTAGAAACTTGGGAAAATACTTTTATAGTCAAAATTTGATTTATTTAAAATACATTTACACAAAATATTTTTAATATTCTAAACAATAATTAATTTATTTCTAAATATTAGGTAACATGTCCATTTAATGAAACATCTCATTTTGCAGCAGAGTAAATAAGTCCTGATGCTAAATGAGTAACAATATTCTAGAGAGATCTGAATTTTAAACTGATAAGTAAATCGTTAACACTTTGCATATTTATAAAATTTATTTTAACTTTAATTATGGTATAATTACTTCTTCAGTTTTAAATCGTACAAATGATAAAAAAAATTCGGGATTATTAAATGACAAATTGAGTTATTAAATGGTAAAAACCGAACTTTTAAAAATCTGAACTATAATAATGTTAAAAGTACTTAATGCACGGTATAATATTAATGCATTGAAGACAATTCTCTGATCGAAACTTGCATGTTATTTTAAATATTTCAATATTAAAACTTGTAGCATTGTTTAAAATTACAAACATATTTGACTTTTGAAACAATGTTTTTTTTTTTTCAAACAATGGATATGAGAAGCACATTTTGGGAAAATGCAAAAAAATTTTTTGATGTAGAAAGCACTGTATGCGAAAAGTGGTAGGACATTTATAAGAAGGTATTTTATAAAAATATCACAATGATCTAATTTCGGAGCGATATATAAATATTTTTATATTTAATAAAACATGGTGATAAAATGATGTATTTTTTCACTCATATAACTATCAAAAATGAAATAAACCAGTTTTTTTAGTTTCCTGAAAAAAATACATGGGAACTTTGGTTTTTAGTGGGTTAAAGATATTTCAAGTTAGACATATTCAGTGGTCGGTAAAATTACACAATTTTAACAACAACCACTTTTTTTTTTTTTTTTTTTTTTTTTTTTTTTTTTTTTTTTTTTTTTTNCCCTTTTTTTTTTTTTTTTTTTTTTTAATATGATGATGACAAACTACTTTTGAAATGCAGTCACAGCTTCACTAGCTTTAAGAGAAGAACTTCGCTGAGGAACTTAATTTATACCCATGTTCAAAATGGTTTTGTGTAAAATATTGGCTTATCAAAACATGAGGAATTAAGAAATATGTATTCATGTTAACATGAGCCAGTCTGTTATTCTAATAATTCATTTTTTCACGCATTTGTTCATTCAACTTTTTAGGCCTTTCTCGACAACGAATACTTAATTTAAGAAGCTCTTTTATTTCCTATGAGAAATTAAGTGCATGGAAAATTAGAAAGAAAATATGTTCCTTTCCACTGAAATAACATCAATGTTTCATGACTGTACATTGCGCAAAATAAAAAACGGACAACCCTGAATAACTTTTGATCTATTGATCGGATCGTCACGTATGCTAATTAATTAGTGCAGACGATATTTTAAGTTACGAATTCAGACACGAAAACGTACTTTCGCTCTGCATAAACATTTTTCTTTTTCTTTGACGGAATCGGAAATATGGGCCAAATAGTTTGGTTCGAAGGCCGGTTCAAAGTTGAGCAAAATCGGCCGAATAGTTCCTGAAAAATCAAATTTTAAAAGTCTGACATTTGAGAATATTAGCGTGAAACTTGAAGCAATGACCTCCTCAATCCTCGTTTGTTTGAATGGTTTCATGAGCCATAAATTTCTAGAGAAGAAATCTTTCCTAGAAAATGCGGAACTTATCTTTTTTTTACTGTCAAACCAGTGGTTTTTCTGCCGTATATTTTTCTTTCCTTAATTTGTAATTATTTTACACAAAAAATTTTAACCACAAAAGAAGTTAACCCAGAGAACAAAAACCTATAAATTTATTTTACAAACAAACAAACAATATTTTATTTTATTTTCCTTAGAACAGCGGAACCAATTCTGAGTTAACGACCATCAATGTTCAACTCCATAGCCTTCTAATTTTGAACCCAATCTAGAAGACACCTACATCAAGATTTGGGACAAACTAGCCTTCGTGGAGAACTTTTTGATGAAACTAACCCGTATTTGCGCTGCATGGAGAAGAAAACCACAAACACCTCGTCGAACGGCAAGGGAATTTTTACTCATGACCCATCAACCATTGAGGATCTTAATGTGAGCACTGAGGTCGGTGCGAGCCAGGAGCAGAATTCGTATCGACCAGCCAACGCTGGGATATGAGACTATGTTACCCATTCTATATATGAAGATATATAATGTTAGTATTGTGCACAACTAATACGAATCGATGTATTACATAAGGGATTATTTGTCCAACTCTACTATTAATAATTATCTACTATTTATAATTATCCAACTCTACTATTATAATTTCAGAAAATATACAAACGTCATAAAAACTATCATATTTTGCGGAACTCCGATTTTTAAAACAATCAGAAATAATCAATATTCAGAGAAGAAAAAAAATTTCAGTTAATTGTAATTACCTCCCTGTGGTAACACTCCAAGCGGAAGGTGAATTAAAACAGAAATTTTTTAAACTAATAGCATTTTTTAACATTTATCAGAACTTGACAGGATTACAAAATTTTCTGATTTTTATATAGTTGTTTAAATTATTTATGCGTAGTGGTGCTCAAAATTATTTTAATTTAATAAAATATTAATACATTACCTTTGTTTCGACTAAAACAATATATTTTTTTGAAACTACGGAAATGCCGTTAACTGTGAAAGAATTTCGTGTATAGTTGCCACCATTTTCGGGGGTTAGGTAAACTACAGTGCATGTAGTCACATCTTTTGTTTACCTTATCACGGTTATAGTTTTATTTAATCATTTTTTGTTTGTTTGCTTACTGAGAATGCATATTTTCATGCGCATGAGAATCAATTTAAAGGCTTCGTTGCAAAAACATTTAATTTAAAAAATAAGCAAATTTTTAGTACTATATATTTGCACTAATTCTTTCAAACAATTGTTATTTTGTCAATTTATATTTTACTTATTTATTATTATTATTATTATTATACACGACAACTACAGTTATGCACTTAGAAAGTATTTACCTCAGCACCAAAAATGGTAGCAACTATCCACCAATTTCTTTTACAGAGAAATTTTCTTACAATTTAGAGGATATGTAATATTGAAAAACCTTAAAACCTATTATTTATTAATTAAACAAATATTTAAATATTATATATCTGTTGGGAGTGGTTCGTTACTCCTCTGAACACATTAAATTAACAGAATTAAGTTTCGGTCGTGTATTGGCAACAGATAATTTTTTCTTCAAAAAACGTAAGTGACGTCATTCTTGCATATCATTACAGAATCTGTTTTTAAGATAAAAAAAAAGCATATGTCACTTCACTATGCTGCTGTTTCCGGAGATGATGTACCATATTTTTTAAGCTGTATTCTAAGTAATTATTTTCAGTTGTTTGCTGTATCGAGATGGTACTATATGTTAGGGGTGCACAACCTTTTTCAGTGAAGGGCCACTTGAACAGCAGGTAGATTAACGAAGGGCCGCACGCATATCTAGTCATGTTACCGGCAAATATGATAAGTTTTATATAAATATTAGTGTTACAAGCACTTAATATTTTTATGAGTAAACTTAATAACATATTTGCAAAAAATTAAAAACTTTTAATTATTTGAATTTATTTAAAACTAAAAAAACTGATACTTATTTTTAAAAAACTTCTTCAATTTTTCACAATAATTAATTTATCAAACGTATATAGATATACACATATACATAAATATTAGGGGGGATGTAAGTTCCAACCAAAAAGAAGCTTTCAGTATGAAATGCAAAAAATATACGATTTTAGAGTAATATAAATTTAAATTAAATATTTTAATTTAAGAAAATTTATAATGTTTAAACAAAAACCAAATTAAAAGAATTTCTTTTATTGCGTTTAGAAGTTCCCGCAGGCCGTGGGCCAAATGCGGCCCACAGGTTGTGCCCCCCTCTATATGTAATAAAGAAATATTTAAAATCTACAAGTTTCCTCATATGAGTCAACACACTCACTAACTACAGTACATGCTCTGCTAACAATAAAAAAAAAATTTTAAAAAAAATTTATTATCCCTCTAAAATTTATTTGAAATAAAGTCTTCAAAAGCAAAATAATTAATCATCGCCATTTCATATCAAATCAAAACTAATGAAATATATAGGCCTATAAAACTTTTCAAATATTTTCCAGTTAGTAAGTGGCAGATGTTTAATTATTCAAAACTTAAGGAAGTTAATATGCGTTGATGACCAACTAGTTAGGCATGTCTTCTTAACCTGATGCCATTAATCATGGTGGCGTTGCATTTAAATGTCCCCTCGCGTATCTCATTTATTTTGCCCAAAGGATGACATTGAAAAAGGATTTCCTGGTATGCGTAATTAAATTAGTAATTATAGATACTAATAAAGAGGATCCGGATGTTTATTAATGAAGAAGTCATTAAGTAATTACGCTAAAAATGTTAAGTGAATTAGGAAAAATAAAGTCTATCAAATACGCAAAACCTACAAAAATTTGCGTTTACTAATGAAGAATTACAATGACTGCAATAAATCTAAATTTTATGGAGACTACAACCTTATTATAGAAACTACAACTTACTAAATAAAGAAGAAAAAAAACTTTGTCAATAACGCAAATCCAACTTTATTACAGAGACTATAACTTACAAAATAATGGAAAGAAAAAAAACTCTCTCAATAGCACAAAATCTACAAAAACTGTTTAGCGTTTTCTAATAAAGAATTACAATGACTGCAATAAATCTAAATTTTATGGAGACTACAACTTTATTATAGAAACTACAACTTACTAAATAAAGAAAAAAAAACTTTATCAATAACGCAAATCCAACATTATTACAGAGACTATAACTTACAAAATAATGGAAAGAAAAAAACTCTATCAATAACGCAAAATCTGCAAAAATTGTTTAGCGTTTTCTAATAAAGAATTACAATGACTGCAATAAATCTCAACTGTATGGAGACTACAACTTACAAAATAATGACGAAAAAAAACTAGATAAATTATTATTGAACTAGTTTTTTTCTTTCTAATCCACAAAAATTGCTTTGTGTTTTCTAATGAAGAATTGCAATGACTGCAATAAATCTTAATTTTAAGGAGGCTTTAACTTTATTATAGACCACAACTTATTTAATAATTGTCAAATTTGTGCTCTAAAGATACTTGGATACCCAAAATAAATATGACTTCAGAGACAGCACAAGAGGGAATAAAAATATAACAAAATATGAGAAAGAAAATAATTGGCACAGCGCCATCTATTGATATTAATTTAAACATAAGTTTTAGACATTATTTCACAATAATGAAGGGGGGAGGGAATCTCAATAAATAACGTTAAAAAAAACTACAAAAATTGTTTCCTGTTTTCTTATGAAGAAGTACTACGACTGCAATAAATCTAAATTTTACAGCACTCTTTCTTCACCGCAATCACGAAAATATAATTCCAATGGTTTTAGTATGGAGATGGAGAGCTGTAAAAAGTTCGGTGAATAAAAATTTTACTTGTCTCGTATTTCACAAATCAATGGAACAGTATAAGCGAATCGAAGAATTTTCGCACAAAATCATATAAATCGTATAAATCGATCATATAAATCGTCATATCGTATATATCGTCATCAATCATATAAATTGTATTTTCAAAATTTCACGCAATGACATGATTTTACGACACAATGTAAAAAATTAAATAGATAATTAGTTCGCTTATTATTAAAATAAATAATAAAGAAAATGTTAAAAAAAATCATATTTCGAATGAAATACTTACTTTTTTACGTCAAGTCAATGCCGAGAGGGGTGTCGCTGAATCGAAGGGATTCCCCGGATTCCTGGGATTCGTTGAGCGCTGTATCACATGAAATCCCAGATTCTGAATCTTTCTTCTTCGTCCTACTATCTTCCACCCCTTCTTCACTCTGATCTGAAATAAAAAATAAATTTCAATATAATTCGCATTCTAATAGAAGTTATTAATAATAACTAAAAGCTAGATTTCCTGAAATGAGTCTGTGCCAATTCACACTCATTTAGGAATTTTAAATTCAAACGCCAGAATCATTTATACCGCGCTAAACAAAAACGATATTAACACATCTCCTTCCTCGTGAGGATTCATATATTGCAGTACATAATAGATATTCAAAGAATACCGGCCAAGTGCAAATAATACTGAACGGATATGTGTAAAATATTCCACATAATCAACCCAAACGGTGAAAAAATTAAGTTTGTGGGGGGGAGGGAAAAAAAGATAGAGAGTTATTTAATATTTTCAATTTGAAAAACGAATTTTCTAATTTAAATTTTGCCGATGTCTAAGTATTTTTCATTGTTTGCAAGGGACTAACGAAACAAAAGCGTAAAATGTAATAATTAATTACTAATTATTTTTCAACTAGAACGGTAAAGTAATATTCAAATAATTTTTGGGTGTTTCGAATAAATGACCACTAAATTTAGTTTCAGGAATTGAAAATAGAAGCGATAGTTGGCATTACGATTACAGTTATTAAATTGTTATTGTTATTTTCTTATTTTATTACTTTCTTATACCTTCTTTGGAAAACACGCTCACATAACTTCACCCATAACTACTATCTTCTTTCCAAATCAATAACTGTCCTGAAACAGGTTCCCAAAAGATATCACCTATTTCGATCAAGACAAGAATGACTTTTTTCAAAACTTAAATAGGGATTGGAGTTATTGTTGTTGCGTTACTAGATAAAGTTTACGAGGGTGGAGAGGACACAATGACTCGTTTGCCATTGTCCCCCATGTCTGCACACGATTTCCACAAGAATGGTTCCAAACATTCGAAAATTCTTCCACACGCCATTCGGAATTGAAAATCGGCAGCTGGGGAAACCCCTGAGCGTTTATGGATCATAAAAATGTAATTCCATGTATGGGACAGCATTCTGAAGAGGGGCGAAAAAATATTTGTCCATCCCTGGTTCCCATCACTTGAAATCAGTCGTATATTTTTGTCAAGAAACTAAGAAGCCGTTAAAACTGATATATGGATTGAGATTTTGCACTGGAGGTAATATTCCCCTGGATTCTTATGTAAATAAATAGAATTCCTGCGTGAGTGGTGGATCCGAATTTGCCAAATCCTGGTACCGGCAAAAATTGAAAAGCTGATCAGTTGCAGGTACCCGACAAAAATGGATATATACGGCCATTTCATTAAAAAATAACAGTTAATACAGTTTCAGGTACTAGAGGTCGTGGCTGTTAAACTAAATCAGGACAGTACTTTGCTAAAAATAAAAGTGGTGACAGAATTGCTGGGAAGTCTTCTGCTTCTAGGGTGACCGTAATCTGGAAAAAAAATTCTGTAGGAAACTTTATGAGTTTTAATTTCATTTTAGTTTTAGGAATTCAGTTGGTCAGTTTTAACATCTAGATGCATATTCTTTTAATTTAAAACTATTTTTGGTAGGGAGGATTAAATAAAAAACAGTTTAGATAATTAATCATTTTCAGTCACTTTTTAAATTATTCAAGACCACTCTGTGGCCAACCTGTACTCCGCTTTCTACAGAACTGTTTAGAAAGTGCTCTAGAAATAAAAGATTAAAGCTTACAGAATTTTGTTCAATTTCAGCAACACATTAAGAACCTTGTAACAAGATAACTGCAATTTTACGAAATGCAAATTTTACAAACGTTTAATTACTCTTATGCATTGCAAAAGTACTAAAAATTATTTTTATTAATTAAAACATCGTACATTTAAATACCACTTAGTATTAAGAATATATATATTCTTAATGCTTACTATTCTATTTCACAATCCAATATACGATAATGATCATAAATTTTATTGAATAGAAGATGCAAGCGGCCCCAGGAGGCCAGCTCAAGAATTGCGTACAAATTCTATATGCCAATTTATTAAGAAAATTAGTAATAGATCGCAGCGTCCCGTTGAAAGTGATAGCCAACTTAAATTGAAAGTTTTAAAAATATTTCTGTTTTAGACTTATTTTTTATTTTAAAAGCATTATTCTGATTTATCAAATCAAAACTACATCTCTAGCGTACATGATGCCTTCATAATTTCATCCCATTTTTTCTCTTCTCTTCCTTTCCTTTCTTTTTTAAATAATTATAATTTTAAACATATAATTTTAAGTACCATAAATTTAAATGAACACAGACATTAACATAAAAGAAAAAAGTTAAGATTACAGAAGATAACACAAGTATTATTCGAGTAAGAGGTGATAATTTCTGCGAATCCGGATTCCATTTTGATCGAAACAATAAACATTTCATTAAAAACAATTAAATAATGATTTTTCAATTTACGTGTTGTTGTAAGCAATCAAATTTTTTATCAATTTTATTTAATTTCTAAAATCAAAGTTAGCAATCATAAAAAATCTAAAAATGCGAAGTCCCGCAGTGCAAAGACACGTTTCCCAAGCATCACTGGCTGCGGTCAGTAAGTGGGTGGGTGACCACTTTGATCAGCCTGCGAAGGGACCGAGAGTGCACGGTATCGGTCCTCGTTAAACTGTTTTGTCGTAAAAGAATGTGCACGACTTAGTGCGCAGGTCATCTAGTTACCAAAACAGGGAAGCCACACCCTCTGCAGAGGATCAAAATTGTGAAGTCATGTTTTCTGGTCATCCTCAGGGATGTTTCTCCGACCGTCGCCAATAGCTCATTGTCTAGCTCTTGTGCGACGTAAATAAAGTACCTACCTACCAAAAAATGTTAAATAACATTTTAAAAGATTAAAAAAAATACAAGCAATTTTTAATTATATTCACTATTTTAAAAAATTAAAAAAAAATTATTAAAGCAGCAAAATGATTTTAGATTCTGTTATGTTTTAAATCAATTAGGAAGAACTCATCCTCTAATTATCATACTGGCTTCAATAATAATAAAAGATTACATGAAAGAAAGAAAAGTAAATGCGCAAAAAAAGATAAACTCCTTCATCCTAAATTAAAACATATTTTTTAATAACTGTGCGTATAAAACTGTCGCGTGAATGAAAGGCACACGACTTAGGAATAATTGCGGTTCATTTAGGCACCAAGAAAAGAAAGACCGCGATCTAATGAGGACCAGTCTAGACACCCAATTATGCATACAAGTTAAGACGAACAAGCGTTAAAAAGAGCATAAAAATCTTTCAAAACAGCAATACAACAACGGAACATCAACAAAACTTATCTTTTTTTTAAACGCTCTGATAGTCTTCAGCATCGAACTGTACAAAAGCACTTAGTGGAAGACAACTTTTTTTTACCAGCCTTTGAAACCCAAAGGCCTAACCTTGGGGTTTGTAGCTGGAGGAGGTCAAGCCAAGTTCGTTCTTCCGGCAATGTCAAGGCAATCGGAACCCCACGGCAAATCGCAATTAGGATCATATAATTATCAGGACATTACAGTTTGAAGCTCTTTTTCTTTTTTAATCCAACGCGCTCTAACTTGTTTCGAAGAATCAGTTGCTATCGGTTTCCACGTGTGTCTAACAAGCTTGTGCAAGATTAATCTAATTGACTTAGGCGAAAACCTTGAAATGCTAGATGGATAATATTATGTATATAAGGAATATATAAATCTACCGAAACTTCTGTGTCGATGCAATGTGTCAAATTCGGACTTGCAAATCTAGTCCTGATAACCTTTTCGGAAATCTGAGATTCACAATAGTAGGGAAAAGGAATCTCAAAGGTCACCCAAGACGAATCGATATCACTCCATTAGGATGCAATACGAGATGGGAATCGAATCAGGAATAAAGAAGCTTTTTTTTCCCGCATCATTCGGTACCTTTGTTCTCGATTTACCAGAAATAAAAACGTGAGGTGCGAGGTATTAGTTATGTCTTGTATAATATATTCGATTATCAGAACAACATGCGTACACGAGGCAAACATTTTGAATGATGAGATCAACTTTGGAGCTTAAAATAACCAAATTATATCGATTGCGGTAGTAAGAATATATAAGGTTTATCTGTTTAGATCTGCAATTTTTAGTTTAGTTAATGGGATTCTTCGAGCAGAAATAAAACCTTCAAACAGTAAGATAATCGACAACATAACTTTATCTTATTACTTTTAGGAGTTATTTAGTGTCGAAATTATTCGTTATAATTACATTTTTCAGGCTGACTGATACACGAACAGAACAGAACTTCATAGGTATAAAATATCTATCCATTCCGAAGTCAAATACACACTTAACTTTGTAAACTCAGTATGGTCAATTCAGCTATGTTCACGAAATATATAAATATAAAATTTTAAGTTGATTTGAATGCAAGGTTCAATGGCTGACGAGCTGGGACTTTCCTAACTGCAGACATTACGACACAATGTGCATTCTAAAAGAGCTTGCTTATTAAACGGATTTGTAAACTAATTTTGATGCAAAAAAAGAAAAGATCATCAGGATGATTTAAGTTCGTGACTGTTAATATTTATTTTAACTATTTCAAAGCCAATTATTAAGGTGACTGTTTTTTTTATATTAAGTCGTTTTTTTCCAATTTTTTTTATTATATTAACACGCAACATTATACTAGGATATACGTATGTACACGTAATACTTATACTAACACGTAACATGACTAATAGTTGTAAACCGCGATTGACTTGGTTGCAAAGTTCAATTTGTACGAATAATACATAATATCTATGAAAATTGTGTGCATCATTTTTGCAGAAAAACCTTTGATTATCGTATGCAAATAAATTGTAAACTCAGTTTTAATATAAGCTATCACAATTAAGACAAGCATTTTAATAAGAGCTCTCATTAATTGTGTGTAGTCACTCTTAATTTTCATTTAATTCCGTTATTCAATATTTATTTAAATAATTGTATCCTACGATCAAGAATCATATATTAGCATAATTATCAATATTTATTTTATTAAAAAAAGAT